ATCCCTTCACCATTCACCCCGGTGAAACCCTCCTATCCTCATACAGGTGTCGTCTCCTGTGTGGGGTCAAAGTGCAGCCACCAGACACTTCTGGAACATTCCAGGACTCCCGAGCCCCCCAAGGGTGCTCTCGGTGGCACCTCAGTCCTGAGCTGCTGAGATCCCACACTGTCTCTGCCAGGGCACCCACTGGCAGTGAAATCAAAGCCATTGATGTTCTAGTCCTGACAAGCACAACCCACCCTGGCATCATGCACATACTGAAAATGACAGACTCGTGTCTCTGGATGGCCCCACAGCAGAGCTCCAAGAGAGGCACAAGGTGCTTTCACTCCTGTTAAGGTGGTGTAGCACAAAATGAACAGCCAGGGACAGCACCAGGGAGCAGCTGGAGTGGGCAAGGGCAGAGTTAGTTGGATTTTAGGGAAAGGTTCTTCCCCAGAGGGTGCTGGGCACTGCCCCTGGGAATGGGCACAGCCCTGAGGCTGCCAGGGATGCCCGGGCTCTGGGCAGGGCAGGGCTGGCACTGGGGGGTCCCCGGGGGTCTCTTCAGCTCAGGATTTGTTTCTCCAGCATGCTGCACTCTAACCATGCAGGGAAATCTCCCAAGATACTGGGAGAACCCAAGGGAAGTAAGTGAAAAATCCTTCTGCAGTCCCAGGGCACAGGACTCTGCTGATGGGATTGAAGTTTGGGAGACAATCCCAGCCTCACTCCCTCCACCCCTGTGGCACTGAATGCTCAGGCTCAGCTCAGGCACAAGCCAGGAGAGTGGGAGTGCAGCAGGCACAGAAATGAGTGATCAGCTGGGCCACAGCTCCCAGGACAGCCCAGAGGCTGAGCACCAGCTGCTCCCTTGGAGTGTCTGTGCCAGGGATTCCAGCCCCAGCACTGGCAAACCTCAGCCCAGAGCAGGGCCAGGAAGGACCAACAGGAGCTGCAATGTCCCCTCCCCATCTCACAGCTGTCACTGTCCCCAGCTCAGAGAGTCCTGGTGGCAGCTGCCTGCCCACACCAGCACTCCAAGGCTGGCAAAAGCAGAGCATTTCTTGGTTAATCATCTGCTGGGGGACTGGGCTGCTTTGTTTTTATCCCTTTGTCAGGAAACAGAGAAGGCAAGAGTGGTTTTTAATTTATACCACAACTGCCAGTGCTTTGCAAAGAGAACAAGGGCGGCTGAATGGCCCTGTCAGAGTGGCTGCAGCACTGCCACCCTCACACTGAGCCCCTGGGCCAGCTCCAGTGCTCCTCAGCAAACACTCCTAAAGGACAGCAGTTCATGAGGAACAACTTCCCATGGGGCAATAAAAACATCATTATTGAAGTTGGAGGGAGACGACCCACCTTGCGTTGNCCAGGCCCTGTGCAATGAACCCAAGTTCCTGAGCTGGCTGCAGAGGTCTCTGTCTCCGTCCATCCTGCACACATTTCCCCCCGGCCCTGGCTCAGTGAGAAGCCCAGCGTGCAGAGGCCCTGCCCTGCTGTGCTCCCTGGCTCACCTCTCTCCTCTCGATCTCCTTCCTCCTCTCCTCCTCGCGCTGCCGCTCCAGCTCGCGCTGCTTCTCCAGCTGCTTCTCCAGCTCCAGCTGCCGCTTGCGCTCCTGCTCCTGCCGCTCGCGCTCCTTCCTCTCCTGCTCGGCCCTCTCGAGCTGCGCCAGCCTCTCCTGCTCCTTGCGCTGCTGCTCCAGCAGGGCCTGCCGCCGCTTCTCCAGCTCCAGGTTACCCCGCTCAAAGTTCTCCCTCTTCTTGTCCTCGAACGTCACTTTGTGCATGGAAATGAGGGGGAAAAGGGCTGTTAAACTCTGCTGTTGATTTGGGAACAAACACACAGAGATCCAAAGGGATCCCCAGCAAAGGGAATCCAGCATCCAGCAGGGATAGATAGCCCTGCAGCTCCCCACTAGGGGTAACAGCTCCACGGGCCAGCCTGGGGATTAGTGTGGGAAATGGATTTGTAGAGAGCTCTCAGGGCCTGCCAGAAGGTTCAGTGTGCATCTGTATGCAAACTCTGAGATAAGAAATGCTGACTTAGAAATGCCATGGAATAGGACAGACATTGCTGAGAGAGAAATGGAGCTGGAAAAACGTTTCAGAGCATGGCCTTGCAAATAAGACTGCTTTGGAGAAATAGAACTGTGAAAGTTTGATGTTGCTGATCCCCTCAAATCACACCCTCAGCAAACCAAGGAGGGAATTCCCATTCCCATTCCTCATTCCTTGCCTTTAACATCCCAGAAATTTTAGTTCCTGCTTTAGTTCCTCAGGCCTCCAGCTCTCTCCACAAAGCTCAGCAAGGGCAGTAATTTAGACAAACCATTCTCCAGCTGATCCTCCATGAGGACACAGATCTGGAATTCCTCTGTACAATAATGATAATAGCAGCAGCCCAAGAGCCAACACTTCCATTAGTGCAAAGAATTCAGCTGCTGACATCATCAAAAGGCCATTATGCAAATGACCAGAACTTACTTAAAGTTGCTCTTCTCATTAGATTACCCATTAGTGTCAGGAAAAGAAATGGTTTAGGTTCTTGGGCAGCTGAGCCCAGGAAGTCTGGATTCCTGCAGATCCACATCCTCAGCCCCTACTGTCCTAAAGAACAGCCTCACCTCCAGCACAGCTTCCCTGACATCCTCTGCAGTCCCAGGGACTGTCCTTCCTCCTCCTCACTCCTCAGCCCCTCCATCCCAATGCTTCCTTCCCTTCACCTTCTGTTCCTTTTC